CTCGGCCCTGACCCCCCACCCCCGTTATCTGAGAATACCTGAGAGCTGTGCAGCCTGGGCTTGAGAGCTTACACTGGGCAGTGCCGTAGCCAAGGCACTGATGGTGAAACAGACGCACGTCAGGCAAGGCGCCATCCCAGGGGAACAGCCAGGGAGCACGGAGAAGGAAGCTGCCAAGTATGGCAGTACAGACCTCAGCGAGGAACCGGAGCCTGGGGACACTGTGCTGGGACAGCAGAGGACACAGGGCAGAGGCCCAAAGAAGGACTATGCAGGTGCTGAGGGCTAAGAGGTGAGCAGGTGGGGGTTGGGCTACGGTGAGGAAGGGTGACCACTGTCCTGGAGGAAGCGGGAAGACACGACAGGAAGTGGCTTCCCCTCTTCTCAAAGAGGCTGAGACTTGTTCCCTGAGGGGCGAGGCACAGTAGGTGGCCCTGGCCCAGGCCTTGCCTTAGGAGACTGCGGTGCAACTGGGCTGCGGCGCCCTGGAACACGCTGGTCTCCGAGTGAAGTCCCGGAGAACTTCAGAACCACCAAGCCTCGTGCTGTGTGTGAGATAAAAGCGACCAGATCCTATCCTGAACCCCACGGTGGAGAAGGCCTCAGGGAAGCCCTTCACCGCACATCCCCACTTTTTTTTTTCCTTTTTTCAGACAGGGTCTCACTATGTAGTTTTGACTGGCCTGGAGTTCACTATTAGACCAGGCTAGCCTCAAACTTAGAGACAGATCTGCTTGTCTCTGTCTCCTGAATACAGGGATCAAAACTGTGGGTCACCATGGCAGGCCAGGGACCCACTTCATCTCTAAAGGTGGAGCTGCTGTCCCTGTCTGCTCAGGGCATTTGAGGACTGATATTAAAGGTAAACCTTTGGGGTACTGCAGGTGCTACCATGGCACTTTACAGACATGCATTCGCTCAGCCCTCCCAACAGGCCCCCAAGAAGAGTGCTAGGATTCTTTCTTACAGAAGAGAGATCTGAGGCACAGAAGTTAAGGTCCGTGCCCAAGGCCACACAGCTGGGCCCAGTGGGTAGAGTTTTGTTCCGTCTTCAGGGATCATCCGCTCAGGTCTGACAAGTGGAAGAGGTGGTTCTAGGATTTCCAGCCGAGCCCTGCCCTGCCCATTGTCCTACCCGGAAGCAGCTGGTATATTCTGGAACCCTCTTGTGACTGTTCAAGCTGCAGGGAAGGATACTAGGGCTGTGGGAAGTCACGGCAGGTCCCCTGACTGGGATCAGCTCATCTGCACATGGGAATAGAACGCAGAAGACAGGGCTGAAACCTTCCTCAAGGAACCCCTCACCCCACCTACACTGTTGGGAGCACTGAACACCCCTTCTACAGTCAGCAAACACAGGCCCTGAGAACTGACTAGTCAAGGTCAGATTAGTCACTGGATAGGCAGCTGGTGCCAGTTCAACACAAACACTTGGTGAACACAGAGTGGGGCTCAAGTCCTGTCATGGGCTCAACGCAGTGTTGGTCTAGAGGTAAAATGAAAATTTGTCCAGAGCCTGGCACTGCGGACTGACAGTAAAAACTCCTTCACCGACTCCTTCCAAGCCCGACATTAATACCATAGCTTCCCGGGTAGAGGAAGAGCTAGGAGTGGCAGGGGTATGGCAAAAAGGAAGAAAGGGGTGGTCAGTAAAGGGGACTTTGACCCCTCTAGACCAGGAGGGTCTACTTCCTGGGGCAGAAGTACCCCAGGAAGTAGGCTACCTGTCACTGAGCCCTTCTCCTGGAGAGAAACGGGACAAACGGGGCCTTTCTCCCAAGGACCCAGAGCTAATCCCACAGACCTGCCTCCTGCAGGGCTCTAAGAAGATGCCAAGAGTCCTCTTTGCTCTCTGACTCTGGGCTCTTCAGCCCTGCCAACTCCTACCTCTCAGTGACTGGAGCCCCCCCTCCAGCCCAACATTCATTCCCTAGAGCAGCTCCCAAAGGAAATCCAGCCTAACCCTGCAGTGCCCCTTGGCCTCATTCTATGAGGCAGCCCCTGGCCTGGGCTACTTTCCGCCTTTAGTCCACTCTAACAGTATTATCCCTATTTTATAGATAAATAAACTGAAGGCCAAAGCACTAAGTGCATCTCAAACCCAGGGTAAGTCCGGAGCTGGTGCTCTCCACATGCCATCTCTTCTGACCTCGGGCTACAGCAGACCTTGCTCCAGGAAGAGGTCAAACCTTCCAATGCCAAGGCCCGTGGCTGGGACCTGGTGCTGGCCTCTGGCTTTGGCCCAGTTATTTGGCAACAGCTATCAACGTCATGTTTAGGGAATGTCAGAAGCTGGGGCAGGACAAGGTTACTTTGTTCTGTTTGCTTTAGGGATGGAAGCCTTGCACATGGCAGACATGAGCAGCACCCTCTGCCCAGTGTTCAACCTGGGCCACCTGTTCAAAGCACAGAACTCAATCCTGGAAAGCCAGAGAAGAGGAAGCTTGGAGAGCCTTCTGTGGGACCAGTCTGAAGTCCCCGCTCTCCTCACTACTGACCTTAACAACGCCTGATGGTCACTCTGTCCATCTGAATCCCGCCTTGGGGGGGTGGCAGGGAGCGCACGCCTATGAACAGCCACTGCGGAGCAATCAGTTCCCAGCTTCCACTCCACCCTGCAGACCTGGAGGTCAGCAGCAAGGCTGTACGTTCCCATCAGTAAAGAGCAGGTAGGGAGTTCTTGGGACAGCTGGGAGCATGTGTCCTACGCAAACAAGCTGGCCATTCTCTGGCTTTGGCCTGAGGTTGCTGCATCCCCTGGTTTTTCAACAGGATCCCCGAATCAGCATTTACATGTGAAATCTCCCAAAAATATTTGAGCACCAATAACAAATGCAGACATGTGAAATATACTGATCAGCAAAATGAGGGCTCTAGGCTGTATTTTCCCAATGTGAGGACATCGGGCTGTAGGTTCAACAGTTGCCGGCATGGCCAGAACAAGGCAGCCCCAGGCTCCTGAAGCCGGGCTTGGATGCGCAGCCTCACAGTGCAGAGACATATGCCACCTTCTCTAAGCTGCCCAGCTACCAACATCCCAGACTGGGCTCTCTGCTATGTGCCCAATCCAAGCCAGAATGAAGAGGGAGGTAGGGGTAGAAACAGCTGCCGAGGTACCCTAGAGTGGGGTTCTGGGTCAGGGGTATTTTATATGATAGAGGATTAGAGACATGGAGACGAGCCAGGTGTAGTGGGGGTGCCCGGGACGTAAATTAGGGCAAGCTACAGAGAGCTGGGACGCCAGACTACTTTATAAGGGCTACTCTATGGGGAGCCCTGCAGGTTAGCAAGAAAGAAAGCCTTCCCTAGCGATGCCCTTCTGGCCTCATAATGGTACTTTCATAGTCATTTGAACCTCTGCTCTCCAGCCTCTGCTTTGACTTCCTTGCCTGTGGGCTGTGTGACAAAGCCCCGGGCTCCAACCCACAGCACAAAATAAACTTCCAAGACGGTTAGGACACACCTAAAAGCTTCTGATATTCTGACTTCAATCTGTATCCACCATGCTGGCTGGAGAGTATATGGTTTACTGTCATTCTTTCTGGGAAATGCCACAGGCTTGATCAAGGTCACCCAGTCTTCAGGGCAACTGGCTTCCGCACATCCTCTTCTGGGGGTGACTGCCTTGGCCGCCCTTGACTTTGCAGGAGTGCTGACCCAGGCTACATCCACACTCGTGGGGCAAAGCCAGCAGCAGGGTGGAGTCCAGGCAGTGGTCGATGGGAAGGCATCAGCTGCTCAAGTCCGAAATGGGGGATCAGGTGTCTCATGGATGGGGGACAAGGGCTGGGTGCCTGGTCCTGACAGCACCTTCTGGACAAACAGAACAGCCCAGGGATCTGAAGCCAGATCGTCAGGAAAAGAAGAATGAAAGCCCCAGACTCCAGGGTTGGAACTTCAGACATGGTAGAGGTTTCAATGAATGAATAAATGAATGAACAAAGGAACTTCTAGAGGTCTCCGTGCCGAGGGTCCTGCCTTCCCCAGCCTGTCCACTGGCCTAGTAGTACCTGACTTTGCACCACTGCCTGTGGGTGGAAGGCTAAGAAAACCTTCCTGCCCTCTCTCCGGGAACAACACCCGCAGGATCTTCCAGCTTCCCCTGGGTCCTGGTGTTTAGGACTTCGTGGAGGGCCTCTTTTTTTGCAGATGCTTTGGAAAGCTTAAGCAAGAACCCAGACTCACTCCTTCATTTGTAGAGGACACAATGTCCCAATCCCAGACTTGGCCCTAGCTGTTCCCAGGGTCAGGCAAAGGGAAGGGACTCAGGGTTGCTGTCCTTGGGACCTAGAGGGACAGAAAGGTACTCTGACCTGAAATGGCTCCTTTACTCAGGGTACCTCCCCTCCCCAAAAACTCGCTTTTCACTTTGAGAGGGCTTGACCTCTCTCCCTGTTCTGCAGGGATCAAAAAGAGGGCCTCCTTCAAGAGCCCCACTGAGACCCGAGCTGGGGTATGGGAGTGAGAGAAAATAAAGAGATTTCCACTCATTCTCTCAAACACGCCCCTTCCCTGCCCTCTCAGACAAAGGCACACACCCAAAGCCCCAGCTGTCACCCAGAGCTGTGGAATGCAGGCACCTCTCACCTGTGGGTGCCCCTAATTTTCTCCTTCCTTGGGGAGGGGTTCTCTTAACTCAGCCTGGCCTTTTGGGGAGGGTTATCTGTATCTTCTTATTCTTCAAGGACCTAAGGTCTAACGCCCCAGGCTTGCTTTAGGAGGAAGACTCTCCACGCTCTTCCCCCTCTCCAGGGCACCGCAACTACTCTCTCCAGGGGTCCGGGGCTATGCCCAAATCTCAGGGTGGGGGTGAGGTTGGGGGAAGGGAGAGGAGGAGGGGGCGGCTCCTCCAAGCGAGACACAAAGAGACGTCCTTCAGCTTCGGCTCCATGGCGACGCTGAGGCGGGGGAGCGCGCACTCCGTACTTCCTTCCCCACCTGCAGGGCTCTGGGGACCTCGGTGCCACTCACCTGACGCCCCTCACCTGGGTCCCACTTACCTGGGCTGGGGCCGCGGGGACGCCGCGGCAGGGGGCCTGGGCGCCGTGTCGGTCTTCGTCAGCCCGGCCCGAGAGGGGCTCAGGGCACCACCACCACCATGAGCCGGGACGCAGAGGGCGTCGCAAGGGACTCGGTGGCCCGGGTCCCGGGGCTTTGGGGTGCCCGCTGCCTCCCGTCGGCAAGAGGGTCTCGCTGTCCTGGGTTTGGGGGTCCCTGTGTGCCGGAGCAGCGGGAAGGGCTAGCGCCCCGAGGCAGGGTCTCTCTGTGTCTTGAGGTGTGCGGTTGCAGCGAGCAGATCTTGGCGGGGCCCGGGTCGGAGCGGCCGCCGCCCGCGGGGCTGGAGGTCAGCGCTCAGCCGCTGGGGGGCTCGGGCGCCGCCGCTGCGAGCAGCCCGACCCTGCGGGCTCCTGCCCCGGCCTGGCGCGGGCTGAGGCTGCGGCTCCGGCTCCCGCTCCGCCCGGCGCTCGGGCTCCAGCACCAGCGCCCGCCCGGGCTGCGCTCCATCGCGGCCTCGCGGCTCCGCCTCCCGCCGGCGCGTACCTGCCCGCCCGCCGCTCCGCCCTCCGCCTCGCGCGCCTTTGTCCGCCGCGCCGGGCGCGCGCCCCGCGCACGCGCACTCCCGCCGCGCCCTCCCGCCGGGCGCCGCGAGCCTGGTCCTGCCCCCCCACCGCGGGAGCCGCTCCACGCCCCGCCCGCTTTCCGGCCACGCCGGGTCCTAGCGCCGGCCCTGCCTGCCGTGCTTCGAGCTTCTTTTCTAGGTCAGAGCCCGCGAGGGGTCCAGAACGAGGTTAGAGAGGGCTCGGGGGAGTCGCAGAGGGTCACCTGGTCCAGCTGCTTGGTCCCCGAGGGGCCAGACTGTCCCAGACTATTTCAGTCTGTGCTTGCGGGGCGGAGCCTGGATCCGTTTCAAAGAAGGAAAATAAATCCGAGCCCTTCTATTCCGATTGCACTCACTCATTCAACCACCGGTCCATCTGTTCACCCGCCTGTCTGCCCATTCATCCTTCCACCTATACATCCGATTTCCACGAGACCTCAGGCCGAGCTTGCGAGCCCTGCTGTACGGAGGCGGTGAGGATTTAAGAAACGGTTGGGATGGAAGGTGTATAAAGCAGAACGGAAGAAAGGGGGTTCCTGGCCGAGGCAGCAGCTGTGCAAAGCCACCCGGGTGCAGAGAGCTTTGTTCATTAACCGGAAATTGGTAGCCTGGATGCAGGTGGGGAGGACAAGCAGAGATGGCGACTGAGTGGGAACGATGCATCCTTCCGGAGGCCCAGTCGCTCTTCCGTGCTTCATCCCTGAAGCACATTATTTTCTTAATGGAAAAAAGCCCCCGACATACCCAGAATCGCCCCCTCCTTTTAATCTCCGATCAGATTGTTCTTTCCAACCACTCTGCTTCTAGAACTTTTGGAGCCGGGTATTGCAAACTTAAGTAACCTTAGGTGCAGCTGGGAAGATGGTTTGTTAAGTGCTTGTCAAGCAAGCATGAGGACCTGAGTTCAGTCCTCTTACCCCCACAGTGAGCGCCAGGTTCAGTGAAAGACCCAATCTCAAAAGAAAAAAAAGAAAGGGAGATAGAAATGCTGCCGAAAAACTGCTTTCCTCAAGCCTAAAGACCAGGGTTCAGATCCTCGGGGCTCACATCAATGCTGGACAATATAGCAGACCCGGCACGTAGGAACCAGACAGGCCCCACAGAGCAAGCTGACTGCAAGAACAGTCAAATAATACCTGAGCTGTGGGTTCAAGTAAGAAACCATACATCAGTATACAAAGCGGAAAACAGCTAAGAAAAATCCTTCCGTTAACCTTTCTCTCCGCATGCACTCACGAGCGTGTGTCCCCACAGACATGCAAACACACACGTGTTCACACCACACATACATACTCCCACAAAAAGTAGATAAGCTGGGGAGTGACTGAATAATACACTTGATAATGTCAACTTTAGACCACACACAAACACACAAGTTGGATAACTTGTTGACAGGAACCAGAAATGGGCTCAGTCCTGGCATATGGGCAAGGCCCTGGACTGGATCGCCAGAACTGGGGGGAAAAAAAAAAACAACAAAAACTGGTGCACAGACTTTCTTGGCAGCTTGCACTATCAATGCTTCTACTTATAATTACTAGCTCACCTTCCTCCTACCTTAACCTAAATTCAGTTTTCTGAAAGCCAAGTCCTTTGTGGCCACCAGCCCTGCCTGTTGAATGCAGTTTTGACTGGGTTGTAACCCTTATGAACTTGCCAAGCATTCCTTGTTCCCTCCTGGGTAAAGCCTACCCTCCTCACCACAGAGAGGTGAGGCCGTTTGAATGAAGACGGCCCCCATAGGCTCATAGAGAGTGGCACAATTAGGAGGTGTGGCCTTGTTGGAGGAAGTGTGTCACTAGGGGGTGGGCTTTGAGGTTTCAGATGCTCAAGCTGAGGCCCAGTGACACTCTCTCTTCCTGCTGCCTGCAGATCCAGATGTAGAACTCTCAGCCACCTCTTTGGCACCATATCTGTGTCGTGCCACCGTGTTTCCCACCATGATGATAATGGACTAAACTTTTGAACTGTGAGCCAGCCCCAATTAACTGTTTCCGTTATAAGAGTTGCCATGCTTGTGGCGTCTCCTCACAGCAGTAGAAACCCTAACTAAGGTACCCTGTGGTCAAGGCAGTCAGCATCCAGTGGTTGCTTACCCCATCACTCCAAGGAACCTCTCTTCTCCACCCAGCCTTGGCATCGGCAAGTTCTTCTGGAACACCCCCTTTCTTCCTTCTCCACATCTCTGTACATTGGGTTCCTTCCATCTGATACACCATTCCCCTTGTCTCCTGTTTTCCACACAAGTTATCCTCCAAAACAATCATGTGGCTGCCTGCCCTCTTCCGATTCATCCTACCCACGTTAGGGTTTTCAGGCTGGCTCTGACATTGTCCTAATACTCACCAAGTAAGATGTTAGTGCTCCAAAGAAACAAATTGGATGAGTGACTGGGTGTAAGCACTGGAGATTGGAAGAGAAAGGGTGTTCTCCATCTGATAACTGAGTCCTCAGACACTAGAGCTTAGAAAGTACTTCCTCATTCAAAGAAACAGGCATTGGCATGTTTTTGGTCATGGTTATTGCTATAGCTTGGCTCTTAAATGTCCCCCAAAGGCTTCTATCAAAAGCTCGTCCATTGGGCCGGAGAGATGGCTCATTGGTTAAGAGCATTGGCTGCACTTCCAGAGGACCCAGTTTTCAATTCCCAGCACCCGATGGTAGTTCATAACTGTCTGTAACTTCAGTCCCAGGGGATCTGATGCCCTCTTTCGGCCTTCTAGGGCATGCAAATGCTGCACGCATACACGCAGGCAATACACTCATAAAGGAAAATCAAATAATTAAAACATATCTTTTAGAACAGAAAGAAAAGCTTGGTCCTAAAGCTCTGTGCTACTGGATAGTGATGGGAACCTTCACAAGGTGGGGCCTAGTGGGAGGTTTCAGGTAATTTGAGGCCATGCTCTCACAAAGAATTGTGGATCACTTTTCTTTCTTTTTTGTTCCTGGTCATGTTACAAACAGGCTCCCTCTCCCACGTGATCCAGCTGTGGTACCCTACCTTGTCAATGGCCCCAAATCAACAGGGGCAAACAAATGGTTAAAGTCTCCAAAACTTTGGGCCAAAACAAAGCTTTCTTCTTTATAATTCTGTGATCACAGGTGTTTTGCTATAGCCACAGAATCTGACTAACAGTCATCAAGAGTTACCTAGTTCAAGGTAACTGGTTAACTCCTGCAAAATCTTCCCCAGTTCCTCAGCTGGGGCCTTGGTTGCCCACAATGCAATTGGGAAGGGTTTGCCAAAAAGCATTGTGGGAAATCCCTCCCCAGTTGCTGTCTCAGAAATGCAGAGTGGGAAGTCCTGATTTCCATAGGCAAAGTACTCTTGTAGGAAAACACGTACTGTTCTTAAATACAAGCTAGGAAACTGTGGGCTCACAGTTAAAAAAAAAAAAAAGCAGAATCTGGGGTTTCTGTTGATGATGAAAGCCAAGCAGCTGGGCTGTGGTGACGTATGCTTTTAATCCCATCACTCAGGAGATAGGCAGAGCTCTGAGTTCGAGGCCAGCCTGGTCTACAGAGTGCGTTCATGGACAGCCAGGGCCACACAGAGAGATCCTGTCTCTAAAACCCCAAAAATAAAAAATAAATTAACAAAGCCAAGCACTTGGAGTTGTTAGGACTAGGGGTTGGGTGGTGTCTCAGGGTGATCTGTCACACCCAACTCAAGCCTTAGTGAAGTCAGGGGGAGGGTTGGAAGAGGGGGGATGAGAGCCTGCTATGGCTCCCACTGCCTGTAGCAAGGTGGAGGGAGCACAGCCTGCTCCTCTCGTCTTCCTCTTCAGAGTTCCCACATAGGAGGAGGCTCACAGATCGATGGAACCGTGCAGTGCAAGTGGTGGGAGATGATGGCCTGAACTTCTGCACTGAGACCTCGCCATCTGGGACTGCGAGCAACCACCACGCAGCAGCAGCTGTGAAACCGACCGAAAGGGCGCACAGAAGAGTCTCCCCGTCTGCTTCCTGGACGCAAGGCTCCTTTAAGGGCCCAGGGTTCCCCCTGGCCATGAACTTGCCAAGCATTCCCTGTGCCCTCCAGGGTAGAGCCCACCCTCCTTACCCCATGCAGTGGTTTGAATGAAGATAAAGGAAGCATTGTAGGCTCTTGCTGCCCAATGCTGCCCTCCACAGCCTCGGCTTTCAGTTGTTAGGTCTCTTGCAACCTGACACTTGCCCAAGCCTCCTCTAGTTCCCTCCCCAAGCATTTTCTGCAGTGAGTTGTTTGTGTGTATGACCCCCACCTTGGCCTGTGTTTCACAGGCGGAACCAGCTTGGCCTATCTGAGCAGAGGAATGAGGCAGCTGACTCAAATGCTGTGGTCCTTTGTCCTTGACTCCTAGAAATGTGCCAATCAAAGCTTCGATTTGAATAGGGAAACATGAAGATAAAACTTAGCCATGGTTTCCACAGCTGCACAGAATATTTGAAAACAGAGATCTCCATGCTGATTTCCCTGACCAAACACGC